AATAGTCGAACGATTTTGTAAAATAGTCGAACATTTTGTTTTTCTCGAATATAAAGAGGTTATGTGGTTTTCTTGTTTTCTTTAACAAAAATACACGTTTATCTGTAATTACTTTCAGTTATTTTTAAATTTTTATTCATTTTTGAAGCCGATAATTATTTTTAAATAAAAATATACTATGTCGGGTAATGTGGACCACTATAAAAAAGTGGGACATTTTCATGAGGACGAGTTCGAAACAAGGGCGCATTTAATATGCGAGGAGGTATTCAATCCTCTGAAAACTCGATATCCGAAATTATAGGTGCCTCGGTTGGATAATGAAGCAAGGACCTTCAAAATACCGCAAATGGGGTGGTACCCTTAAATGGGGGCAATTCCAAAACATGGACCCATATATTTTTGCATTCATTGTTACCCAAGAGTGCAATAAATTGAAATTTATCACAATTAATCCACAACCTACTTTTAACTTACTGATCCTCATTACCCACACATACTGGTCCACATTACCCGCCAAGTTATTTTTATATGCAGTTTAGAGTTTTTTGAAATATAATGCAATAACATTTTTATGGACAAATATATATAATTTTTGACCTGGAATATAATTAGCCAACAAATCTACCATGCTGTGAAAACAATTTGTTTTTATTTTTTACCGTTGTTACGCCCACAATATCAAAAAAAGAAAATGGTGGTCCACATTACCCGAAGTTACTCTATCATGGTACAATTTGCATTAACATTACACGAATGTAATGCCAGGTTAAGGAAATAAATTTTTTATACATTCATCCCACCTTGCCAAATTCATATTTCAAACGACTTATATTTATTTACTAAAGTTGATACACTTTTTTCGTAAAAACTCTTTTTTTGGTCTGTTCCCGTACTGCAAGAATCTACTACTTTTTACTACGATAACGAATTTTCTTTTATGACATCGAAAAAAATAGTAAAATCTAGTAGATTCTTGCAGTACGGGAACAGACCATTTATTGTAAAACAAAAATTGTTTTTTAATAAATGTATGTAATTCAATGATATATGGTTGTCAGTTTTGTCAGATTTGCATCTACAATGCCTCATGGCATAAATAAATATAAACAAATTTTATATTAAAAAAATAAATTATTAATTGTGTGAAACAATTCAAACTAAAATTTAAATTGATTGAATTTTCAATGTGAAAAGATATCCTACCATGTATTATTATTGTACTACTGACACAATTTCGAATTGCGAATTTCACACGCAAATAGTTATATTTATATTTCCGTGATTTCTACACTTTTGAATCTACTATGCCGCGCCATCTTTGTTATTTTAAATTAGTCATACTTGTTAGTTCTGTGCATGACACATCCCACAATCTACTCCTTAAAACGTGCATACTTTGGGGCGTAATATTGATTAAGAGATGTCACTAGTAGTCATGATATCGAGACAAGTTCAAATTCATGCCATGGGCAAATTCACCGTGGATTACATTTTTAAGTTATGGCATAAAAATTTTTTGATAGCTGATGGACGAAGAAATAGCTATGATAGTGACCATGGTGAGAAATGAAATATAGAACCATATATAAAGGCTTTACGTTGAGATGTTAGTAAAATGCTAGTAGAACTTTTAACCAAATTTAAGAGAACAACCTTTTACTTGAGAAATTTGGCTTTACATTAAAAAAGTATGGGAAATGAAAAAAGTAAAGTGAAACAAACATATCTTAGAAACACATCATAGAGATAAAGTGTAATTTTGAAAGATCTATAGAAAAGTTTATGAAATATTAAAAAATGCATAAAATCATGATTTAAGAGAACCCCCCTCACCCATTCACGATTTTTTATTTTTAAGATTTTAAATGGGCTGGTAAATGAATACCAATGCTTGTTAAGGTTTGTAACTTTGCAAATTTATATTTGAAGATTTAAAAAGGAAGACAAATAATTTACAAAAAATTGTTTTTTTGTGATCAAAGAAAAGTCCTTATTTTTGATGGCGGGCATGATAACTCCTCCTCCAAAGGTGTTAAAAAAAGTACACGTCTGGCTCTCGTATGAACTAGGATTATTGACTTCGCACAACAATTAACAAAATGGCCGAACTTTGATTTTTTTTTTGGAAAATCGCCTATTTTTTACCACAAACTAATTTAAAAAAATAAGGATGATCTTCACCGATTGGCTTTATCCTAGTTCATATGATAGCTATAAACTCACAGAGAACGTTCCAAAATTTGAAATCGATTGGGTTATTAGTTTTTGAGTTATCGTGTCCGCCATATTGATTCGAGAAAAATGCGTTTAAAGTTTGAGAGTCACTCTTGCCGTCACTTGATGTTGACACAATAAATCGACTATATCTTCAAGAGTTCTTGAGATTTTCACATGCAATTTTGTAGGACCATTCTTGAATTAGTGTAGATTCGAAAAACTAAATAAAATTTTTTGACACCAAGAATGGGGGGGTCCCCTTAAATCGAAAGTACGGCCCATATAATTTAATATACAAAGAATATAGAATGGCCGCAACTGCGCCTCAAATCGTCTATCAGCATATGACAATTTTGGCATACACGACTCAATGTTATGTGCTTTCTTCTCATCCAACGCGTCAATTAAAGCGGGGTTTGTCTGTATAGACATGAGTTTTAACGTAGCCCTACACAAATAGTCTAAATATCGTACAATCTAGGCCGATAGCCGCTTCAGTGGGTCGATTAAATTGACCATAAAATGGATAAAGAGCGATAAACTTTCTTAACCGGGCACGCATTTTGATAATAAAATTCAATGATTTGCAACGGTTGTTCGTTCGTAAGACGATTATAGACCAAACTGAAGTGTTTAAACCAGTGGTACCAAAAAGATAATAGCTAAAAAAATATCCTTGGTAATCAACAACGAGCTATTTGGGATACAATTTGTGTTTATTTATTGCAAAATAATCAGGCAGGAAAGTAATTAGTGGTGAAAGTATGACATTGTCTACATAGGGGTAAGGCAGGGAAGACTATAGTTTCGGACCTCGTCACTGAATCTATTTATAGCATCTTGAAAAAAAAAACGTTTATACCCAAATGCAACAAACAGAAGTAACTACGTTGCCAGCGATTAGTTGAAGTTCGCAGTTGAACTCCCTCTTTTTTCTACAAAAACAAAAGTTTTCATCCAAAAAGAAATAAAAAAAAACAAAAACACAACCGCCGGCTTCTGCCTACTTTCCACTCAATCGAAAATTTGCATATGTATTTTCTAAATAGAAGGACACATAAAATCACAATAGAAAAATTATATGGGCAAAGAAATGCTGTGCCATAAGAAACCCGCCTCCAAACACACATACTCCAAAGTTATTTTTCCATTATCTCTGACAAAATATCGAATTATGATTATATAACGACACCCCCGTTATATGGGGTTATCCGATAAATTTTGTTAGGGAGATTGGCTGGCCAATGGAAACTCTAAGTTAAAAATTACAAGCAATTCGGTTGAAAAATAGCCCAACAAATTCCCCAAAATACTGAAAATTTTTGAGGTACTGTTATAGGGTGCATAGAACAAAACGTTAACTAATATATTCAAATACCAAACATCCTATGAGTAGTATTGCGAGCCCTATCCCGAACCCTATTTCAATAGACGGACATGCATAAATCGGCACAGAATTGCATTGTGTTCAAGAATATATGTATACACACTTTAAACTATTGTAGTTTTCCCGACCTACAAGTCTAATGTTATATTATTATTTCTTCGCCAGGTGCCAGCATAATCGTCCTAAGATGGTGCCCCGCCGCACTATCACAGGGACGTACGAGCTTACCTGGATCAAAATTTATCGGGCCAGTGGATAAGACGAAGGGGGCCAACCGAGTTTTCAGAACGCTCTCCAGACCTTAACATTGGACTTTCAGCTTTCTATTTTCCGGAAATTTGTATAAAATTTGTATAAAAGCGTGTATAAATTTTTTGAAGCGCCCTGTTTATACATATACCGTGTGGGTTGTCGGCGAATATTTCGAGTTGTTGCAAACGGATTGAAAATTTAATATACCCTCCGTAATTTATATTTTAATAAAAACATAAAACTACTTAAATTGTCATTTTATTTATACAACTTTATATCAATGTAAAAAAAGTCGATAATCCGGAAAATTTGGTAATCCGTATTGGGGTCTGCAATCAATTATACGGATTAGTGGGCTTTTATTATATTACGTCGAAAATACCAGCAAGGAGAGGATCAATTTGCCCCCTGGCTTTATTAATGAAGCTGCGATGACGTTACTCCTTTTTATACAACTCTCATACCTTAATATCCAAGGTAAAAATCTCCTATGCATCCCCAAACAACCTTAGTAAAATTCCGATTAGTTTATGTTAATATTTCAATAATATTTTATTGAGTTTTTTATTTTTTCATCATGTGTGTGTGTGTGTTTGTTTTGCTTTTTATCGATAACGTAGTTATGACATTTAACTTAAGGTACATAATAGTTTTAATACAAACAGACTGAATTAAATACAATAACCTAAACAATTAAATAAAATATTTACAACTCAAATGGTGCACAAGCATGAATGTGTATGAGTGTAATGTAAAGTACTATATATATGTACAGAATAACAAATTGAACTAAATAAATTTACAAAACAAAAGAGGTAAGTACATACACACAATAAAAGTACCCGAAGTGTGTATGCTACGAATTATTGGTTCTTGACTAAAACGAATCATCGTTATAATGGCAAAATCATTCCGAACTACGGGGACTATAGGGGAATTTACAATATATTCTTATTTTCTTATCTTTTCCTTAACGAATAACTGTATTTTCTAGACCAACCCCATGGGTGGTTTTATTTCTAGCATTTGAGTGTGGCGATTTTACAAGACTAAAAAATTTGACTAAATTTGTGTTGCTTAATTTTTGGTTGGTTGATTGGTTGAATTTTCAATTCTCTCCGCTCAGACGAGTTTGCTGTGCTTAAGCCAATGTTATCGAAAGTCCTTTGGGCAAATTGAAACCGTTGACAAGATCTGCGCAATCAAGTTGCTGCAACCCCTGTGAGTGGCTATCGTCATTCGTATCTTCGGCCTCGCACAGATCGATTACTTCCGTAATTTGAGATGCCTCGAACGACAACTTTTTTCTTGCCGCCAACGAATTCACGTGTGTAAATTGATCCGCCAGAGAGGGCAGGACTTCCGATATGCTTGTATCGAAGTTCAGTAAAATCTCATCGTCTTCGAGGGGTCTTAACCACTTGGGTGACTTTGGTTTGGTGGGACTCATGATTTGTGGTAGACGTTCTACTGTGGTATCACTACATCCGTTTCCGTTGTCAGATTCGCGCGACAAGTGAGTTCCCAACCGTCTTAACATGGCAACAACTTTGCCATCGACAGTTGGCTTTGGCAAGTGGAGCCGTTGCTGGGATTGTTGTTGATTTTGTTGTGGCTGTTCAGCGACTTCAGCCGCTGGTGCGTATTGCCCTTCAGCGGCATACAAAGGAGCTTCACGTATGGCCAATTCTTGTTCAACTTGAACTATGCTGCGCATGTAGCTGGCTCTCATGCGTGTTAGATCCCGGCATTGGCGACACTTTGGCTGAGCTGCTGAAGCCTTGACCTTGAAGAACTTTGTTGAGCTGCTGCGTATCACAATATATTTGCCACAAGAACACATCAACATATTCTTGTGCTGCGAGTGACCACGACGAGCAAGCTGTACACGAAAATTGCGTTTATTGAAATTAATTTTATGGTTCGGTTTAAGGTCTAGATCTTCCGGTTCTGGTTCATTTACGACTTCCACATTTTCCATTGTTACGTCCTGTGCTTCAACACTTGAATGGGAAGTAGTTACCACTGGAGATGGAGATTGTTCTGCCATTGGTTGAGGTTGCTGCTGGGGGCTGACACGAGCAATGGGCCGACACACGGCAATTTTCTTCTTTGAGCCGGAACTTTTTTCATCCTGCATAACGTTGCCACTATTTAGATGGGATCGAAAGGTGCCCGAAGGACTCTCCGCATCGTTGCTATTCAAGGCCTGCAGCGAGTGCCAATTGATGAGCCAATTGTTACAGCTGAAGCACAGGTATTTGTCTTCATTCAACGGCTGCAATGAAAGTAAAAAAGAAAATTTTATTATTAACCTGGACTCGTGGTAATTGCAACAAGGTATAAGAATTTAATTTTTTAGGCCAGGGTAGGCCACACTAATGAGACCACAAATCAATTATCAAAGTGTACAAATGCATCGCCCTATGAATTTCATAGGCAAAGCGCAATGACTAGGCTGTCCTTGATCCTGGCTGGCAAGGGTGCAACTGACACAAAACCCAAACCCGTTGATAATGACCGTTGCATTTCGGAATAATTAAGCACAGACATACATATGAATGTGGTACGTGTGTATATCAATACAAAATTGTAATGTTTTTTTCATTTCGGCCAAACCACCTGCCACCAATTACAACGAAGCCAACAATAACACCAACGAAGACGGCAATGTGTATCACGAAAACTTTGCCGGCAATCATAATATGAATGCGGTATATTTTTGTCAGACAGGCTGAGCGACTGATAACAGCAGCTGTCGCATGCCGACTCTCCAATGAACCAATTGAAAACAATGTTCGCTGCCCCGCCACAAAAGGTGTTACTGGCTGCGATAGCTTGCTGCGCATGCCTATTTTAAATGCATTTTTCCTGATAAAAACACACGCACACACATTCACATTTTATTACCTGGCCAATCGTTAGATATGCCATAGACGGTAAAAATAATTAGGACACTAACCCCCCAAAGCAAAGGACAGATGACGCGTGCGCCGTATGTTGAAAAGGATTTCCAAAGTACACAAAAAAGGCTTAATCACTATTAAGCATAATTCTACAATAACAACAACAAGGGCCACAAAGACAACAACAACAACATCATGTGGTTGGTGTTTATGCATAAGAATTGATCACCAGGTGCAAAATACGCTCACCGTTCAGACAATCATATGAGTCGGCAAGTTTGTGATAAAAAAAAAAACAAAGAGTTCAACATAACACAAACAACAACAACAGTAGGCAGTAAACATGCCAGTCCAGAGGCAAAGGTGCCATTGCTAACTCTACGGGCTGGTTGATTGTGCCACAAATACATCTGTCGTTACTCAAAAATTACATACTACATAACCGAATGCTGTACGCATTTTATTTTTTGCAGGTTTGCCAAACAACTGACCCGCACAAAATTGGAGCATCAACCGAATTTTTTGTATGCAGCAAACATAAAAAATGCAAACACACACGAACATCATTTTAGGTTGACTATGAGATGTGTACAGTGGAAATATATTTTCGAAAAACAATTTATCATAACAGCGTCCTTATTCCTCCAAAATGATGTGTGACCATACAGTTGTGATAGAAGTACGACCGGCAAATAAGAGTAGAGGAAGTAGGCTCTTTTCTTTGACTATGATTTGATTTTTAGTTTTAGTGGCATTTTGACGCCTCTAAAAATCAAGTATTTTCTTAACACTCCATCTCCAAAGTAATCCCGATAAATATCCCACTTGCTTCACTGTGGCATTTCGAGAACAGCTGCTGTCACTGCATGTAGAGAGTGCAGTTTAATGGACAACAAAAGGACCTGCATAAAACCTGCAGCAGAAGATCGTCGTCTCCGCCCTACACTTCTCGGTGCTGTTAAAAGGACAGCTGACAATTTTGTTCTTAGGTTCACACACTGGCAACTGCACAATGGTACAAATAACCTGCAAGAGGACACACATACTCCACATACATACATATTTGGATCTTCTCTCAGAAATGGAAGGTAAACAACAACAGCATCATGTTGTTGTGCTTGTTGTTTGTGTGCGGATGTGTCTCAAATTTCAATGAAGTAGAGTAGCTACTTTGCCAACACCATTTCATCCATTTTATGAATAACATGTGATCGATATTTATTTCAATATTTTAAAGATATGACAAAGACAACGACAGCAACAAAAACAACAGTACAGAACCGAACAGCAGCTATAGATGAAAACAATTTTTTGCCCTGAAACAATGTCAAATCTGCCATCGATCACCAAGTTTCGTAGTTGTTGTTGGTGGTGTTTTTTTTTCGTGCACTCTGGAGAAAGACAAGCACTTTCCAGCTACTCTCTGTCGAGGACAGGACAGGTCGGTATCAAATTACGACGGGATATGTGGGAATCATGAGAACAAGTGACATCTGCTATTTTATGAAATTCACAAAGAGTGCTTGAATATCCGGTGTAAGAAAGAACAACCAACCAAAAACAAATCTGTTGATGTTGTTGCTATTGTTGTGGTAGTCGACGGTGGCTTATCCGGCTGATTATGAAAAGTGCAAAGGATTGGGTTAATGGTGTCACAAGGGTGATATTAAATATAAGTTATGACCTGTTTGGCATTGAAAATGTTTGACAGACGCATCAGTTCGGCACATCGCCATGCAATGCGTTAATGACCTACTGCAGGTGGCATGAACACAACATATACGATTTATGGTGTCTGTATGTGTGTAGAGTTCGCTCTAGCAAAGCTTTGGTGCTATGACAACAGAGTTGGGCGACAGGATGCTGTAACTTTAATGGAATGGAACAGAGTATACATTCCGAATGTAAGGGTGGGTGGGGGTTGGTATATTCATGCAGAAAGTCAGTCACCCCACTCTCTATTGGATGACAATGTAAAACGAAATAGAAAAGGCGGTGGTGACTCATTGGCATAGGAAGACAGACATTCTTCGGTTCGACATAAAAAAATATATATTTATTGGTGAAGCATACTACAGTTTTTCAGGTCTTTTATTGATTTTTTGCTAGACTTTCAATATTTTTTCCTCGATTATGATTTGTTGAAATCTCATATGTACATTTAATCTGGATTGATTGTTGAGTATTTACCTGAAATTTAAATTTGGCCTGGATGAGCTGAACAATATTTGGTCCACTGCGAGGCTCGTAAATATTAATCGTCTGGTTCGTATGACAGCCGCAAATGAGACAGGTGCGTTTTAAATATTCCGATGAATTTTCCGACATTTTTACGCCAAGGATTAAACTAGACACTGCAAATTATGTTTGTAATTCCTTTTCGTTTCGTAAATTTCGATGAAATTTACAAGTTTCTTTTATTATTATACACTATGCCGAGTGAGGTTATATGAGAGAGGGTGTGTGTGTGCGTTCTTTTTCTTTTGATATTACGTATTTCTTAACTACTATTGTATCGGCGGTTTCTATAACAATCCTTGGAATACACAAATAAATTTGCGCAAAAATATCCAAACCAACACTCGCGCACTCACGATATGTCACTACGTCATACAGGGTTTCTCACGAATACTCTTGGCGCACTGTCATTACTAATAATTCTCTCTCCCTCTCTTTGTATTATCTTTGTGGTGAGAATTTCACGTTGTTTATATTTTTTATGTACGTTGTGAAGGGCTCGTTCGTCCGCTCGCTTCTTCTTGTGTACACGTCCTTCACGTTGTAAGGTTCAGATACGAATGAAGTTAAGCTGCCGTTGACCGTTCCTAGCTGGTATTGAACCTTTTCTGTTATTTTGCTTTGCTTCCTTCTCTACGAACATTTTCAACCACTGATTACTTGTGACGGTGTTGGACGAGTATCTCTTCGTAGTGGTTGTAGTCGTTGGAATATGTTGTTATTTGTGTTGTATTTGAACTTATAGTCAGCCATCCAGCCATCGGCTGTATGGAGGTGTGTGTCACAGGAGTACGTACGTATACACATATATACGTTTGTTTGTTCATTTGAGAGGTAGTACTAAGTCCTTTTACATTGTGATTTCTTTCTTCTATTGTTGGCAAAAGGTACACCGTTAAAAAGGGGGATTGTCGCGCTCCAATTCCATGAATTAAATGCGAAACGATTGAATAGAGACTCCATGACGCTTTGACCATATTATTGGTTGTATAATCGTACATAATGTAGAAGGACAATTGAAATGTTTATTATTATTATGAAATTTTCTCCAATGGATTATTTTACGTTTAGGTCATGAATATATCAAAGGAATTTATATATTTTATGTTGATATAAAAAATGTAAGATATTTTTTGATTATAGTTGATTTATAATGCAGTCAATAATAATTTAATACGAACCATTTGTTATGAATTTACCTTGCGGTTATTAATTGAATTAAAATTTAGTTCTAATGTATTTACGGTGAAAATGGCTTAAATAGGGAATATGGTTCAAATAACCTTATTGTATGTCAAAGGTTATATAAATCAATGAACAAAAATGTACATTTTGATAACTACCCAACCAAAAATAATTGGTATTCCATGAACAAATTATTTTTGATTAGTTAGTTGGAGGGTTGAGTCGGAATGACACATGTCCAAGAAGACTTACGACTAAGTAAGCCGAAATCAGACTGCTATAAATCAATCTATATTTTGTTCTAGACTTTTTATACTCTAAGCCAGGGACGTACCCGGGGGGAGTCGATATTTGGAGTCGATATGCCCATGTTCGTCCGTCTCTCTACCTGCTGGTAGAAAAAATTAATTTTATTATTATTAGCGAACGGACTATCCGATTTGAACCAAACTTTGTACAACTTATTATCTTTACCAAGCCTAGATCAAGTCTGAATATGGGACCCATTCCTCCTTCTGGTACGTCCCCCAGAAATGGTCCAATCCAATATAAGGCGAATGGGATTTGGGATTTGAATCAAACTTTGTATTATCCCTACCAAACCTATATTAAGTCCGAAGATATCTCCTCCAGATAGGGGCAATATTTTACAAACTTTTAACCAGAGGTCGGCAACACCGACTGACGCTTTTTTACTTATTTTTTTTTAATATTTTCCTTCATAGTCGTTTTTCAAGGGTTTATATGGGTCTATTTAGTCCATGATTATAACTCTAAACGCTGTCTTTTCAAATTTTGTCCATACGTTGATACTACACTATCTACGTTTTAGTATAGCGGCCATATAACGGTTCCATAAAATTTTCGGTTTTGTATCCATTTTCGAACCGAACCAGTTCCGGATTTTTTGAATGCGATAAACATCTTTGACAACATTTTCAATATAGGGTCGTTTTTAAACATAACCACTATATAAAGGTTCCACATTTTTTCGGTATGTATAGCTGCAATTTGGCATTCCGAGCAATCGGATGGTAAAAACATAAACGCGGAAAAAATTTGACGTAGTCCCCATAAATGGTGCCGTCGTTTTTGTATTTTTGGTCTTAGTATGGGCATTTCCAGAAAAAATAAACCAAAGAATTTTTCTTTTATTGTACAAAGTACAAAGATACAGAAACATAGTATGTTCCAGCAATGTGCGGCATCCATTACATTTTGAAACCTATATCTTGGTGCAACACCTCAGTACGAGAAAAACGCTCAAAGCATACAAAAAATAACAAAAAAAAAAAAAAAAAAACACACATTTTGAAATCGTCCGATCACAGCATTTTCTCTGTTTTCCAACAATTGATTATAGTATTATTATTATTTTGATCGCAACTGTTGAAGTTCAAATTGTTCACACAAATCGCAGAGCATTCCCATTATTAGCAATGATGTCTAAAGTCATATATATTTGAATTCACGAGAGTGACCACTCTTTTGTGGCTTTCCGAAAGTCGTGCCAGTTATCGGGGAAGTGCCTATATATGTTCACTTCTTGTACTATATATTGGCATTACGGGTTCCTGGAGCATAAAAACATCTTTGCAAAACATTTTCGATACAGGCACATATGTACATTTATATTGGGATCTCATTTGTTAAAGATTTTCGTACACTTTCTCTCGCCACTGTATAAAGATCCCGCTCCACATTCGATATTTTTAAGGACCTAGCCACATTTTCCCACTGAAGGGGCTATATTTTAGAATAATATATGTCAATGTTTTTATGTAGCCTTCATATAAAGGTTTCGCTTTTTTGTATGTTTAATTCTCAGCCTAGTTTTCCAACATCAGGGTCTGGTATTAAATATTCTAAACGAATTAACATCCTAGTAGATAATTCTACTATTAATTTAAAAAATGTTAAAGGCAGCACGTCGTAATAACCACTGAGGCCTTTGCATAAATGAAGATTAATTATATAGTTCAGTCTCTTCAGTTACATTTAAATCTCCTACACTAATAGAACAGAGGCCTAAGTCAATATGTTGCTTCACAAACTCATTGAGGTTGTGGGTTTGAGTACATATTGCATTTGAACATTGCATTTTTACTATAGGCTATATTTGCACAACAATTTTTTATCTGAACAATTTATTCCATGGACATATAATATCAAAAAATAAACCTCAAAAAAGTTTGTCGTAAAGGAACAACATTTTTGTTTCGTCGAAATCGGTGCAGAATTCGCATAGTGTTAGTGTTTTAAACCTCCGAGACACTGTACACGTACGAGTTGCTTTCCGAATGACTGTGATACAGCATCGCAATTTCCTATCACAGTTGCTTTTTACATCATCAGTGGGCAAAATATTGGCGCTAATTTCTCTTTCACGTCATTAGATTGTTTGCGATTTGCAACGGATTGATGCGTATCTGCGAATGAAAATTTTTAAAACAATAGAGAGGGAGACGGAGAGAGAGAGAAATGACAATGGAATAAAAAACACACAAAAGGCAACAACAAAAATGACAGATGTTGCGAGAACTCACAAATGCGACGAGAACAACCAACCAGAGGAGAGCAATATATTTAAGCCGAAACCCAAAACCAAAAACCATTCAATCGACCGAACATCGTAATGAAGCAATGACGAAGAAATTGAAGCATGTGTTTTCGTCATTTGTCGGCTATGCTTAATTCATGGTTTTTGTTTTGTGATTCCTATTAAAGGATATATAAGCATATGCGCTCACAGATACAAACACGCACACGAGGAGCTAGTAATGCAGTACAAATTTACAGGCACCCGCAGCAATGCAAAATCAAGTTGGATGCGTGTTGGGTCTGCAGATGCTGTTGAACAGAATTTTGAAAAGGTGTTTTTGAAGTTGTTATTGTTGCTGCTGCTGGTGTTCGTGTATTAGTTGTACAGGTAGCTCTAGCAAGACATTGCCGGATTAAATGTACAGTGAATATCGATATAACGATTTATATATAGTCAGCCTTCCTCGTTAAATCGAAATTATCGTTATATCGGATGACATTTTTTTCTTGTAGAAAACTGCAAAAGAAAGCAAATTTTAATTTTTATACCCTACACAATTATGTTTTTATGGTATTTTAGCTTTATGTGGCCCCAAGAATTTGTAACGCCACGAAATATTGGTCCTAGACCCATCTTTTGGTATACCGATCGTCATATCTCGACTAGCTGAGACGATCTAGACATGTGTGTCCGTCCGTCTGCTCATTATTATTTGTCAAAGATATGAACAAATCGTCAAGAAAAAAATCTTTAGGGGTTCAAATGGTAAATACAGTCTACGCCCGGTATAACGAGTACTCAGTTTAATGAATTCGGGATATAACGTATGAACAAAATAGTCGACTTTTTACACTGACTATCGTATATAACGAACGTTTTCCAAATGTATATAGGTACTGGATATATCGAATATCACAAAATATGAAAGATATGTAAACACATTAATATTACATTAATATATTTTATGTTTGAAATCTATTGAACAGTAAATTACCTTTTTATACCCTTCACCACACTGTGGTACATATGTTTGTCTTTGTGCATATGTTTGTAACAGACAAAAGGAAACGAGATAGACACATGGTTCCTTTTGAGAATTTATGCATGTCCGCCCGTCCGTCCGTCTGTAGATGTTAAATTGTAAACAAAGTAGGGGAGACTGGGGCACCTTCGGCATCGGGGCACCTTCGGCAATCGCGTTTTCGATATGAAGCTCTCACCGTACATCACTAGTTTCGATACATAGGTATCGAATATCGAAATAAATAACTGACACAAAGTTTGAAATTTCTAGCTAATAAGCTTATTTAGATACATGGGTTTTGGTATTTTTATAGATGTTTCTGTAATATTTCAATTCAATT